TTCTTCTTCTTCTTCTTCTTCTTCTTCTTCTTCTTCTTCTTCTTCTTCTTCTTCTTCTTCTTTTCTTCTTTTCTTCTTCATTTAAACATTTTTTTTCATTCATTTTACATCTTTGTTGTGGCCCATCCCTCCTCCCCTCCCAGTTCCACCTTCTCCCCTCTCCTTTTCCCAGAGGAAGCTCCCTTTCCCATCCAGCCCAGCTGATCAGGTTGCCTCAGGACTGAGCTTATCCTCCTGTCCTTCTTCCCGGTGGTCTGGCAAGGCAGTCCCACCAGGAACTGTCTGGTGATCACTGAAAGTGATCAAAAAGCTGGCAAATGAGTTCCTGTCCAAAGCAATCCCCATTTCCCTTACTAGAGGACCCTCATGAGGCCTAAGCTGCCCATCTGCTACATCTTTGTAGGGGGTCTAGGTCCAGTTCGGGCAGGTCCTTAATACTTCAGTCTCAGCAAGCCCCTCTGGGCCCTGGTTAGTTGGCTCTCTTGTTTTTGTGGAGCTCATATCACCTCCAGGTCCTTTTCTCCCAGTTTTTCACAAGACTCCCATTACGCATCACCTAATGTTTGGCTGTGAGTCTTGGCACTCAAAACTTGAGTTTTGAGGCACTGCTGGGTAGCATTTCTCTGAGGATAACTCTGAAGCGTAGATTCTTGATGACATTACAAGAATAGTTTCAGGGGGCTGGAGAAGTGGTTCAGCAGTTATGAGCACTGACTTTTCTTCCAGAGGACCTGGGTTCAATTCCCAGCACCCACATCATGGCTTACAATTGTAACTCTAAGAGCTGACACCCTCACACAGACATACATGAAGGCTAAACATCAATGCACAGTAAGTAAAAATAGATAAATTGTTTAAAAAAAAATAGTTTCAGGAAGAGCCAGAGTGAAGCAAAGTTAGTGAGTGTGTGAAGTATTTAGCTGAATAACTATTACACACTCACGACATGGTTATGGACTTCTTAAGTCTCTGTATATTTTTATATTTTACAGGAGACAGGGTCTCCTGTAGCCACGCTGGCCTTGAACTCTCAACCTAGTCAAGGATGACCTTGAACTGATATTCCAGTACACCTCCAAACTTAGGAGTCTGTGCATGTTAGGTAAACACTACCAAGATAGCAACATTTCCAGCCTCCAGCCTTCAGCTTCTTCAGTTACATTGCTCAAAGGGTGTAATTTGAGCTGGGTGAGATGAGAAATTCCTGTAACCACGGAATGTGGGAGGTAGAAGCAGAAATTTAAAGTGTTCCTCAGCTACACAGGGAGTTCTAGACCAGGTGCAGCTGCCTGAGATCCTTCTCAAAAAAAAAAAAAAAAAAAAAGCAAAAAAAGCAGCAGCAACAACATTTTTTTTTTTAAAGGAAGGGGCTGATAAGATGGCTCAGCAGGTGAAGGGTGAAGATGCCTGCAGCCAAGCCTGTTGACCTGAGTTTAATCTCTGGGTCCCATATGGTACAAGGAGAAAAACAACTCCTAAGAGTTGTCCCTTGACCTCCACATTTGAGTACCCATAAGAGTAATATTTTTAAAATGATTTGCAATTTTGCATCAATGTTTAAATTTTCATTGATTGATTGATTGATTTTTGAGACAGGGTTTCTCTGTGCAGCCTTGGCTCTCCTGGACCTAGATCTATACAGCAGGCTGGCCTGGAACTCTGAGATCCACCTGCCTCTGCCTCTCCAGTACTGGGATTAAAGGCATGTGCCACCACTGCCTAGCCAATGTGTAAATATTAAACAGAATTCAAGTAACATTGTGAATTGACTTGCTTATCTCTCTCTCTCACTGTCTCTCTCGATTTATTTATTATGTATACAGTATTCTGTCTGAAGAGGGCATCAGATCTCATAGTAGATGGTCATAAGCTACCGTGTGTTTGTTAGGAAATGAACTCAGAATCTCTGGGAGAGCAGCCAGTGCTCTTAACCTCTGAGCTATCTCTCCAACTCTGCTTATTTTTCTTATCAAAAAGAATTTTCTCTGAGAAATTGCTCTGAGTAATACTATTCAGTCTTCAGAGATAATGAGGTCAGGAAATGAGATGCTCTTTTTGTTGTTGTTTGTTTTTGTTTTTGTTTTTTTGGGACAGGTTTCTCTGTGTAACAGAGCACTGGCTGTCCCAGACTCGATTTGTAGACCAGGCTGGCCTTGAACTCACACAGATCCACCTGCCTTTGTGGAGTGCTGGGGAAAAAAAAGGCATGTGAATTTTCTCATATAAATGAAGCATCAAGGGATTTTATAAAATAGATTATCTAGATTTAGGGATGAGGGGCATGCTAACTCAAGGCTACAAATATTCTGGTCCTCAGTAAGCATAATTGCTATTTTAACATTCTTCATATTTGTTAGTTGTTGATGGTAGTGGATAATTTTTTTTAAACTTTGTTATATAGGTAAATTTATTCTAAAGTATTTTTGTCATCATTTATGTATGTCTACATGTGTCTGTGTATGAACAAGTGCCTAATAAGGTCAGATGCATGCCACATTCCTCAGAGCTCCAGTTATGGCAGCTCACAGCTGCCTGGTATTGGTGATGGGAATTGAACTTGGGTCCTCTTAACCTCTAAGCCCTCCCTCCAGCTGTGATGGTCAGTTTTTTGAGAAAGGGTCCCATGTATCCCAGGCTGGCCTCAAGGCCTAAAACAGCTTTGAATTTCTGGCTTTACTGCTTTCACCTCCTAAATGCTGGGGCTATAGGAATATGCCACCATCTCCAGCATAGACTGGGATTACACAGAATAACACATACACACAATCTCAATCTAGCTACCTTGCCTTTTTCACACCATATATCTTAGAGATGGCTTAATAGCAGCAGATAAGTATCTTTCTGGCTAACAGTTTGGGGAGATTGATTGTATTTGTTTTATGCTGATTCAATCCAATGTTCCATGCTAAACTCTACATTCTATAGAGCTACATTTCCACTCCAGCTCAAAGGAAAGGCTTGTTTTGTTTTCTTTTGTTTTTCACAGGGTCTCAATATATAGTCTTGGCTAGTTTAGAACTCAGTATGTAAACCAGAAATTCGCCTGCCTCTGTCTCTGTAGTGCTTGGGCTAAAAGAATGGCTACCAAAACCAGTTAACAAACAAACAAACAAACAAAAATTACAGTTTTGAATTAGGCAAGATGGATGAACACCTGTAGTCCTAGCACTTGAAAGGCAGAAGGTGCAAATAGAGACTGATGGGTGTGAAGACAGTCTGGACTATATGTATACATATACATATATATATATATATATATATATATATATATATATATATATATATGGCACAGAGAGAACCTGCCTCAGAAGGAAAGAAAGAGTACTCCTGTTTTTAGACATCCTGATCCCCTAGGATCAGGGGCCCTGTCTGGAATTTGCATAATCAGAAAGTACTCTAGATTATTTGAAACACAGTCAGGTTGGGAGACTACTGATCTGACCTTTTTTTAATTTTGCTCTACCTGCTCTGGAAC